AAAAAAAAAAAAAAAAAAGGTTTGGGGTCCAAAGATAGGTTAGAGATTCTCTCCTGTCTTTGTCCTTCGCCCCTCCTTTAACCCTTTTGCTCCTTTCCTTCTCCTACAGTTAAAGAAGTCCTGGCTGTCCCCAGCTCCATCCTGGAGCTCCCCTGTCCCCACCTGTCAGCCTTGGCCTCTTACTATTGGAGTCATGGCCCAGCTGCAGTCCCAGAAGCCTCTTCCACGATCTACAATGGCTCTCTCTTGCTGATACTGCAGGATGGGGTTGGGGGTCTCTACCAGTGCTGGGCCACTGAGAATGGCTTCTCATACCCTGTGGTCTCCTATTGGGTAGACAGCCAGGACCAGCCCCTGGCCCTGGATCCTGAACTGGCAGGCATCCCCCGGGAGCACGTGGAGGTCCCGTTGACCAGGGTCAGTGGTGGGGCCGCCCTGGCTGCCCAGCGGTCCTACTGGCCCCACTTTGTCACTGTCACTGTCCTCCTTGCCTTAGTGCTTTCAGCAGCCCTCATCATCCTCTTGGCCTCCCCATTAGGAGCGCTCCGGGCTCGGGGCAAGGTTCAGGGCTGTGGGACCCTGCCCCCTGGGGAGAAGGCCCCGTTGAGCAGAGAGCAACACCTCCAGCCTCCCAAGGAATGCAGGACCTCTGCCAGTGATGTGGACGCTGATAGCAACTGCCTAGGCACTGAGGTGGCTTAACTCTAGGCACAGGCTGGGGCTGCAGGACAGGCACCTGGCCATGCTGGCTGGGTGGCACCAGCACAGCCCTGACTAGGATGAGAGTAGCACAGAAGACCACCGTCCTCCCCTGAGAGGAGCTTCTGCTACTCCTCATCACCGATGGCACTCAGCAGGGTCGTGCACAGCAGTCTGCCTCCCCTGTGGGACTCCCTTCTGCCAAGCACATGGGCTCTCTAGCAGAGTAGGGGCTATCCACACACCTGCTCCTACGCTGATATTGAAGAACCTGGAGAGGATCCTTCAGTTCTGGCTGTTCCAGGGACCCTCCAGAAACACTGTTCCAAGAGACCCTAAAAAGCCTGCCTGCCGCAGGACCCAATGGTAATAAAAACCAAACATCTAAAGAACCATATGCTAATAGACCACTCCTGGAAACTCCGCTCTGAAGCTGCCACTTTGGACACCAACACTCCCTTCTCCCAGGGTCGTGCCGGGAGCTGCTCCTTCTTGCTTCCCTTACCGGTCATGCACCACTGATTCCCAGGAAGTCTTTCCTGAAGTCTGACCACCTTCCTTCTTGCTTCAGTTGGGGCAGACTGTGATCCCTTCTGCGCTGGCAGAATGGCAGGGGTAATCTGAGCCTTGTTCACTCCTTTACCCTACCTGATCCCTTGACCTCTCCCCCTCCCTTTTCCTTTGTTTTGGGATTCAGAAAACTGCTTGTCAGAGACTGTTTATTTTTTATTAAAAATACAAAGCTTATGTATGATGGGTGCTGTGTTTGTTGGAGCAGAGTGCTCCGGCAGAGAATTGCTGGGATGTCGAGGGAGCAAGCCGTCCAAGCACATCAGTGGGGAGGAGGACTAGGTTTGTGGGGGAATTGTTCTCTGTGACTCCAGACTACGTCCTCTGCCCTGCCAGCTCCCCACCCAGAACCAGCCCACAGCCCTTTCCTCCACTCTGAGCATTGCTGGAGGGTGCCGAAAACTTTGCCTTTTGGGCCAACCACAGCTTAGTGTTGACCAGGCTCAGCTTGTATCTGTCTGCTAGACAGGCGACACCTCATCCCTCACTGACTCCCCTGCTGCGGCCCCCACAGTTGCTGTCCACAGCTCTCCCACACTTCTCGTGACTCCAGCTCAGCCCGATTCCTCACTGCAGCAGTTGGCTTCAACTCTTGGTAGACAAATTTATAGAGAGACTGTGCATCCACCCCCACCCTGGCCACATCCTTCTCCATATCTGACGATGCTCTGTCCACACCTCCACACCACCTTCCCCCTCTCCCCTCTGTTACAAAGGCACAGGTCCCTCTTCCACCAAGACTAATCAGCACATCTGTGCCCCCATCACTTCTAGGGATCTGTTCTCTCAGCATCTGAACCCCAGCATCCCCACTGGTTTTACTCACTTCCTCATCTTTCATCTCCCCCTCCCCCCTACAGGTGTGATCAGGTGTTCTCTACATAAAAACACAACAAAACAGGCCGAGCATGGTGGCTCACGCCTGTAATCCAAGCACTTTGGAGGCCAAGACGGGCAGATCACCTGAGGTTGGGAGTTCAAGATCAGCCTGACCAACATGGTGAAACCCCATCTTTAAAAACAACAACAACAACAACAAAACAATAATCTTTTCCCAAACTCTGTCCATTCATGTCTCTCTTTCCTGGTACCACCAAACACGGGAGCAGGTCCATTCTGGCTGCCCCCACCTCCCTCCAGTGTCACACGAGCTTTCTCTAATCCCCTGAGTTCTGGCTTCTTTCCCCACCTTTTTGCTCAAATGGCTCTCTCCAAGACTGCCCATAAGCCCTTAGTGCCAAATTCCATCTTGGTGTTTGTATAGTCCTCACACACTGGCCACCTCGTTGTCACAATTTTCTTCTATTACGGGTTCTTAATCTTTTTAAAATTTAAATTGCGGTTAAAAAAAACACATACTATGCAATGTACCCCCTTAGCCATTAAAAAAAATGAAAAATAAATGAGGGCAAGGCGTGGTGGCTCATGCCTGTAATCCCAGCACTTTGGGAGGCTGAGGCAGGCGGATTACCTGAGGTCAGGAGTTCAAAACCAGCCTGGGCAACATGGTGAAACCCCATCTCTACTAAAAATACAAAATTAGCCAGGCGTGGTGGCCCGCGCCTGTGATTCCAGCTACTTGGGAGGCTGAGGCAGGAGAATCACTTGAACCTGGGAGGCAGAGGCTGCAGTGACCCAAGACTGCGCCACTACATATATGTGTGTGTGTGTGTGTGTGTGTGTGTGTGTGT